TCACGTACGAATACGGCCGGAGAGCTGGATCAAGCGGATTGTGAACGGAGGGGGAGGTGGGGGTTGGGGCATGGGATGGCCCTAACTTGTATTAATATCCATTAGATTTATGTTTGGCAAATGTAACCACAGAAATTACACTTTAAAGTCTGTTTTAGTGTACCTGTCTCGCAAAATGGCCGGCAATTTTTCGTCGATATCGAAATGGGAAAACCGCCGGACAAGGTCGTTTCTTGGTTTGGTTTGGTTTGGTTTGGGTTGGGTTGGGCAAGGTTGGGTGGCTTGGGCGGTTTTCATGCCGAACGCTTGATATCTTACCCCACACCCCTGCATTAGATATGGCCGGAGAGTTGTTTTAATAGCCCGGGTCGGGCTCATAATTAAAGTCCCTTCCTTGGAAAGTCTTTCGCCTCAACCCCTTTTCTTCGTGGCCATTCAAAGGGATTGGGCGACACGTACTCGGTCCATACATTACGGCCATTTCCACCGGCCAACTTATGGGCCACATGGACTTTAACACTTTGGTGCCACATTAAGGCTGCAAATTGTTAAACGTGGCCATCCGCCACGCCCTCTCACCCCCACGTGCCTCCCCCAAGATATGTACGAGTATATGCAGGGACACCTGAGCTGAAAGGTGAGGGGCGCGGGGCGAGGTCACCACGGGGCAGGCGACTTATTACCCAAGTTCATTAGCATTTCGAGTCCTGGGCGCCACATCGAATGTCAGACAGTTGACACTTGACACGCCACTGGAGTGGGCGTTGGGGCATGGTCGGAGGGAGGGGGTGGTGTAGGCGCAGACTTCTTCAATGAAAATCACCCAAGAAATATCTGTAGACTTTAAGGCCACTGGGAGGTTTATATTCGACGGAGTGTTCTGATGTTGTGTGTCCTGCAAATAAGAAACTTTATTTAAGTACGAACCATGGAACGAAGCTGCTGAAAACTATTTTAGCTCATTAATATTTTACTTAAAGTTGTTAACTTATTTTACGTATGCATTTCTTAATGTTGTGGATTGTGGTTGTGGATTTTCGGGGGTATTGATTTTATCCTGTCGGGTCTTAAAGCTAATGGATTTTTCCAAAAGTCAAGTTTTTCTCAAAGATTCGCGCTCGATCTCAACCTGTTGCCCTGCGATTGGTCGGCGAAAAAAGTTACTTGGTAAAGTTTACGGCATGACGCTGTCAGATTTCGGCCATAGTAATTAAACTTTCACTGGGGTAGAAAGATTAAAAAACAAATATACGTGTACTGTGGAAAAATTGGGGAAAAATCAACAGCCAGCTGGCATAATGGAGGAGCTGCGAAAAACCAGCGACAGCTTGTTGACAATGTAAATAATGTGACAAAGGGGCGGTGAAGAATGGAGCATGTGAAATTGGTTAGTGGTGAATATAACGTGGATGGGCTCAAGTGCATGTGTTTGCCATGACGTTGATAAGCCGCAAAAGTGTCATAAAAAATATGCAACTACCAAGGCGACGAAAAACTACCGCTACCCACAATTTCACCCATCAACCCCACCATCTGCACTTTCATTCGTGCTTATTGCCGCTGGCGTCAGCGTTTTGTTTTGGCCAGTTCCTGGTTTTTCCTGGTTTTCCTGGCTTTGCCCACCCTCCTCTGCTCTCGAATAGAAGCTCGCAGCGGGCGTGAAAGTTGCGAGAATTTATAAAATTCACATTGACGCCGCAAATGTCATTTATCAACGTGTCACGGCCAGAAAGAGAAAGGGAGTTGGCCCAGAGAAAGTGCGGGACAAGATGGGTAGTGCAGCGAGAGTCGTTAGAAAAATGTTCCAAAATGGAGAAATAGGAAACGAACTTTCATTTGTTGCACACTATTCCATGAGTTCTTCAAGGAATGAGCACTATTTGAAGGATCACACAAAAGTATTTGGAGTTCTGGAACCAAAGCGCTGTGCAGCATACTTAGACACTTTTTTTGAGTCTTGAAATCCATGTGGTATTTAAGGCTAGGCTAAAGGAACTTTAGGAACCACCCTCGAGTGAATGGAATGGGAATTTGCCAGCTCCACAAAATCCCCGCTTCCTCGGCAGCTTCTTCTTCTACAGTTGGTGGAACTTTTCGCACTTGGCACTAAATTTTCAGCTGCTTTTGTGTTATGACAATTATAATTGTGCTTTTGCATATGTGTGTGTGTGTGCGAGAGCGTTTCTTGGCAGGAAGTATTTACGTGGGAAATTGTAACAAATGTTTTGTGTGGTCCTTCGATGTGTGTCTGTCTGTGTGGGTGTGGCTGTGGCTGTGGGTGTATGTGTGTGTGTGTGCATATGTGTGTGTGTGTAGCCTTGTTGCACTTTTCCGCCAACAAAGTAACTGCAAACTGAAAACCTGCAGCAGCCAAAGTAAAATAGTAAAATTAAATTACATGTGAATCTATGTGAGCACTTACACCTGCGCCACAAAATACTAGCACTAGGATAGTAACAAGTTTCTCCACTCCCCTATTGAAAATGTATTTCGGGTCATTATCACATCCATATGGGGTTTGATCTTATTATTTGTTAGATCGCGCATGTATTAGATCATACAAAAGTGCATTATTATTATGACCGCTGCTGTGCGTGGTTGTGTGTGCTTATGTGGTTGTTTTAAATAGTCATAGACTGTTAGACAACAAACAATGCTCTGCCTCTGCCTGTGCCTCTTCTTCGCTCAGCTTCTTCTTTTTGACCGCTTTTTGGGGAAAAGTTTTTTCGGCTAAGGAAAAGGGGGCGGGGTCCATGCGTGGTGGGCGTGTCTTGGAAAAGTTGCAGCCGAAATGAAATATGCTCGGTGGCACGGCGAGAAATCTCAACCGAAACGAAAGAGAGGGGCTTATGGTGTGCGAAAGAGACGGTTGGACGGCGGAGACAAAAAGCCTTGGCAGGAAGTTTTGGCTACGGAAATTTATAAGATTTATGTTTAATTGTTGTTTTTGGTTTTTGCGGCAGCTGCCGCGTGCCTTCATTTTATCCTTTTGGTGTGTGTTTTGGAGAAAAACAAATTAATTAGTGAAATTAAATGGCAGTCGACGGCAAATGACAAGTTCGAGCAATTAAAAAAATATATATGGCTCACACTTGAGCGCACAAAATCTTCTACTGCTAAGCCATCACAAATCGCACATCTCCTGTGTTGTGAGATTGTTTTAAGACCTAAATTGTCTAATAAAAATGATTCGGCAAGCAAAATACTCCTAGGAAATGTACCTCTTTGGTGAAATACACCTCCTTTGAGCTTTGTGCACTTTACTTATTTATTAATATTATTCGGATTATATGTGTACACCCAACTGATAGTTGGTAGTACTATAATGCAGTCGATATCTTTTGGCCAACCACAAGACGCCAATGCAGCTTGGAATTTGCCTGTTAAATAAGAGCTTCCAGTGAGAGCCAAGTTCGTTAAGACAACAAGGAAAATGTCGTAAATTACCAATTACAAATTGCTCGGAAGACGATGACGACGGCACATTGGATTTTATCTGCGGCCAGCAATTATAAATGCATTTGTCAAATATTGAAATAAAGTGAAATACTATCGAAGGAGGAATGTGGTGCGGTTTTTGCTGGCTGAGCAATTAATGCCAATAATGCAATGAATACTTGGCTAATCCAAAGTGTGCGGCTGCACTGAGCGCAAATCTGGCGGGCAGATAAATCCATTTGGGTCCGGCACTTGTTGACCCGTCCAAATGGGCGGCATGCAACTGAAATTGATGACCTCGCTCACCTAAATCATTTGTGGACATTGCCACAAATTGGCTAACGTTTCGAATTTGGGTATTGGCCAAATCAGAAGTTATTCCATATTACCATCAGTAGTGGCAGCTAGGGTTTCCCTGACAAAATTTCCAATTATGAATTTTATTTTCCAACAGTTAAGACCTTAATTTTAATACCAAATATACCTGCGTTTCTTACTATTTTATTTTATATTTCTTTGCAGACCCGATGATACCCGACTTCATTTCGAAATCAAGCTGGGATTTGATACGAAAAGAGAAAACACTGCCGGACATGTTCCTTGGACCGATTGAAACTGGGCAGGATTTTCCGTAAGACGCTGTCGCAGGACTTCACTCGATTTCCGTTGCGTGCACTTCTGCGGCCGGCTTTTCCATTTTGCGCATGGTAATGGAGCTGGCCATAGCAGAAATGCAGGCCGCAGAAGCCATGACCGCACTTTTAATCAAAGTGAAAACTATGAAAATTTATAAAATAATTCTCGTAAACGAGCTGGGGAAAAGAAGGCGACCTAAGCATGCAAAAACCGAATTTGTGCAAGGACCTGTCACTGCAGCCCTCAAAAAAGGGCAGCCACACCCCAGAAACCAAACATCCTCTGATACAAGGACCTCGATCTTCTTACCTCCCCTCACCATCAGCCTCACGCTCTGGCTGCAGCTTGTGTTTGTGTTTGTGTTTGGATTTTCGGTTGCTCGGGGGTTTTTGGGGAACTGCGAGCTGGGAGCTGGGAGCTGGATGCTGGGAAATGGGAATTGGGAGTTGGGGGGACTGGTTACCGCCCCCTCTGTGTGTGGATATTTGCATGATATATGCAGTTATAATAAACCACAAGAGCTGCTAAAGCAACAGCAGCCACAGCCAAATGGACGACTACGAGGACGAGGACGAGGGCGAGGCACAGGAGGTCCTGGCCAGGACCTGGCAAACAAATGCCCATGCTCAACGGTGCGTATGAAGGCAAATGGCAAACAGGAGCCACCATAACACTGGCCATCCGAAGGAGCCTCGGTTGTGGTCCACCAAACTGCAACTGCCGATCGGAATTTTGACATACATAAATTAGGTAAGCATATTATTTGCCCGAATTGAAATTCGCATTAATAAACAAAGCATTTAGCCCGCCAGGTGGAATATCTTCGGAGCAGCATCGATACTTACAGGCAGGTTTGGCTGTACATTTGGTATAATTTGTATCATTTGATGTTTATTTTTTTTTTTTAACTTTTAGTATTTAATAATAATCGAAGCCGTAGGCGTTGTTGTCGTATAATTGAATCCAAGCAGCACTGACATATACGTCAACGAGTTCAGAGCTGTCAATGGAGCAGAGGTTTCATTTCAGTTATATTAGTTCAGCTAGCAGGCAAACATCACTGCTGAACGAAAAAAATAAATCGAAAACGCACAATCATGAGTTATCACCAGAACAATAGATCCGCGAGTGCTTATGACCACTATGGTTTCGGTAATATTGATAATCGGACTGAAGATAATTCGCGGAGCTCCTATTCGCAGGTGAGTTTTATAGTGATTTTTGTTAGTTTCCTGCATACATATGTACATACATACATAAATATATTCTTTTACTTTGCCACCAAACCACTATTCGGTTCAAACAGCATGTTCGGTAACGCATACCAATGTATTTTGTCTATTGTGTTGTCTTTCCCACCACAACAACATGAGCATTTTATTCAAACGGTAGACTTAAAAGATAAGAACAAATGACAACTATCAATTCGAACGCAGGTAAAGTGATTTACATTTACACTGAAAACCACAATTTAATTAACATAAGAATTGTGTAACACGCATTTAACCCGTTTTTAGATTGATTTAAACTAACTTTGGCAGTGTTCTCGAGAAATCTAGTCCTATGGTTCTTGTTTCTTTGATCTGTGCTATCTAATGGCCAATCCAAAACCTCCATTTGCAGTCAATTTTGTGTTCGAATTTGTTCCGCCCTGCCATCTGCCAGTCTTGGTATTGATGGTAGTAAACCTTCTCCTAAAATATTGATATATTCTTCAGCATTATCCATCCCTTCAATGAAATGCAGTTTTCCTAATCCCTTGGCAGACATAGTGCTTGCAGGAAATTTTACTGTCGTTTTAAGGCAGTCTTTATGGAAATTTTTTGATGTTATGATGTTGTAGAAAGTCGACAAAATTTTTCCCACTTCCACTAGCTGAGTAACTGGTATCTGATATTTGACAAACTCGACTATATAATTCTTTCTTGTTATGATTTAGATATGGTAGAATAGAAACCAATTATTGTTTGGACATTAGAGGCTCCTAAGGAAAATTCGGAAATTAAATGCCTTTTAGAAGCATTTGCCATTCAAGTAGTGAGAACTGTCAGCTTTTCAGTGTTCATAAATATTTAGATTTTGAAGGCTCTTTAGAAAAATCAACATAGAAAGCATTGGCTTTTCATTTCATAGCATCGACTTCAACAATCCATCTGAATTCATTTCGTCTCTGGCTTTCAGGCCAATCGCATTAGGCCAGTTTCAGGAAGCAGCATGGATTTGGATCTAATGGAATTCGCCTCGCAGCATGCGAGCTATATCGATCTCCATGCCGAAACCAGGATGCGACTTCCAGTGGGTCTTCCTTATTAGCTATAAGAATGTTTAATTTGCACACATAACTCGAAATATTGGATAATTATTTGCAGGAGCCGATTAACAACTACGAGTTTGATTGGAGCTCCATTGGATTGGACGAACATCAATCTGCCATTAGGCAGGATCAGCTGAGCCAGACCCTTACCGATAATGTGATACAACCAGAGAATATGGTAAACCGGGATGTACCTTTTTCGAGGATTGCTGCAGAAGCAACATTGCAGACTCAATCGCAGGGTCACAATCAGCAGACTAAAGCAGAACCATCAATGAAGAAAGAGGAAAACCAGAATTCCGCTGCGGATCCAACTCGAGATGTACGTATCAAATCAAATATCATTTTGATAAGTTGAGTAAAATGATCTATGTACTTTTTCCACAGCGAATGACTATTCCTCCCAAGCTGGATTCGATGCCTACGGTTAACGATAATCCGTTTCTAAACGCATTTGAATCTCTGTTTGATGGTCAAGAGGAGTTGGCTCAGCCAAAGAAATCGAAGGCATCACGATCCAAGCTAAAGAAAAAGAAAAAGTCGAAAACCGAACCTGGAAAGCTAATTAAAAAAGACGATGAGTTACCAACTACATACCGTTGTAACAAAGAGCAGTCAACTGATATACAATTCAATACGAATATCAATTCTAACATTTTTGGTATTCCCACAGATAAAAATAGTAATTTTTCACATTTTTCGAAAAAGTCTAGTGATAGAAAGACACAGCCAACTGATATACAACAGAATACGAATTTCAATTCTTCTATTTTTGATATTCCCAGCGATGAAAACAGGAATTTCCCACAATTTTTAAATAAGTCTAGCGATAAAAAGACAGAGGCAACTGATATACAACAGAATACGAATATAAATTCTTCTATTTTTGATATTCCCAGCGGTGAAACCAAGAATTTTGAACAATTTTCAAATAAGCCCAGTGGTAAAATAACTCAGCCAACTGCTGCACAATCTAACCGAAATGCAAATTCACTTTATGACATAAGCGATACAAACATGGATGTAGAGCAATTACCAACCACTTCCAATGGTATAACCAATCCGCCAACTGATATAGAATCTAATATGGATATTAATTCTGTTTATGATATAATTGATGATTTAAATTTGGATTTTGATGAACTACCAACTACTTCCGGTGATACAGCAACACACCCAATGGACGTACAGTCTAATTTGGATTCTAATTCCGCATATGATTTAATTGGCGACATAAATATGGATTTTATTCCATATGAAAGAACATATAGGGCACCTGCGAAGCCAACTAGAGGATCCATATACAAGATCAAAAAGCCCAGGCCCGTCAAAAGAACCATTAAGGCACCATCAAAGCCCAGTATTGCCCAGATGTTGCGGGAGGCTGCCAAAAAGGAAAGGGCGGCTGCAAGACCTAAGAGGCAGAAGAAAACCAAGGCGACCACAGAATCTACAGTTTCAAATTTTCCTAACTTTAATCTGTCGCCTGCAGTCCCATTTGATCCACACAATTTTCAGGAAAATTATGACGATGTCATGCTGCAGGAACCCACAACCGAATTTAATATCCCCATTGAAACCGAGAATTTGATGCCAACGATTCCGCAGATTCCAACAGTTCCAACAAATGTACCAGTACCATCAATTGGAAAGGTAATTAAGCCTCCAGCCAAGCGTGCTTACACGAAGAAAGCCGATAAGGCCAAGAATACAAATATGAATATACTACAAGAAAATCATACCGAGGTCATGGTGCAAGAACCTACTGTACCACCTGAACTTGAGGAGCCCGTTGAAACTGATATTGGGATGCCACCGAATCCTCAGGGTCCAACAGTGCCACATCTACCAATACGATCAATTGGAAAGGTAATTAAGCCTCCAGCCAAGCGTACTTACACGAAGAAAGCCAATAAGGCCAAGAATACAAATATGAATATACTTCAAGAAAATCATACCGAGGTCATGGAGCAAGAACCTACCATACCAACTGAGTTTGAGCAGCCCGCCGGAAGTGATAGTGGGATCCCACCGATTCCGCAGATGCCTACAGCTTGTGTTGCTCCGATCGACAAGGTTAGCAAGCCCAAGGCTCCTAGAAAGAAACCTGTTAAGAAGGTTCCGCAAGAGGATATACCCATTGGAGTTCCGCCAGAAGGAGAAACTCCTCAAATCGCTTCCCAGGCACCTCAGCCCAGAGCCAAGCGAACTTACAGGAAAAGATCCAATAAGACCGTGGATACAAATATACTGCAAGAAAATCATACCGAGGTCATGGTGTCAGAACCTACTATACCAATTCAACACGTAGAGCCCGTCGGAACTGATATAGGAATCCCCCCGATTCAGCAGATTCCAGCAGTTGCTGTTCTTCCGAATTTATCTATACAACCGATTGACAAGGTAGTCAAGCCCAAAGCTCCTAGAAAAACACCTGTGAAGAAGGTGCCAATTCAGGAATCGGGCACGGATATTCTTTCTGAGGTATCGCCGGAAGGAGAAACTGCTCAAAGCAAGCCAAAGCCTAAACAGCGAGCACCTAGGGTACCCAAAGAACCTAAGGCGCCAAGGGTACCAAAGACACCTAAAGTACCAAAGGCACCAAAGGTACCGAAAGAACCTAAGGTACCAAAGGCACCTAGGATACCGAAGAAACCTAAGCCGCCCAGGGTACCCAAAGAGCCTAAGCCACCCAAAGAGCCTAAGGCACCTAGAGTACCCAAGGTACCCAAAACTCCTAAGGAACCAAAAGTATCAAAGATCCAAGCAGCAAGACAACCTAAGGCATCCATAAAAAAAACACTGAATAGTGTACAGGTACCGCCACCCATTGAGCCTATGTCTCTAGAATCAACCATCGATCCCATGCTCGCAAATAATCCCACTTTCATGAATACTATATCTATGCCTGTACTATCAACAATTTGCGAAATACTCATTCAGGGGCCGATAACACCCATATCTCCAATTAGATCTCCTCCTCCGCACATCGTAGAGAACTTCAATATGTCACAGTCCTGCGAAAATCCTCCGAACTGGACGATCAGCTCATGCGAGGCCACTCCAAGGTTTCCAGCAAATGACAAGATGAAAAAGAGCCAGGAACCGAAGATGCAGGCAGAAAAATCAGAAATATCAAGTGTTAACGATAGCGGGACAGTTCAAAACACTACTGTAAGTGTGAAATATATATCATATTTTTAAGATTTTTCTCCACCCTAATTACTCTTTAAATATCACTCATTTTAGAATTCAAACAGCTCGATTACGCAAGGTCATGTGCGATCACCATCAAAATCCCTATCCGTATCTCAATGCGTATCTAGGCATTCACCTCGTTCATCATCATCAAGTTCTTCATCAAGCTCATCGTCAAGCTCTTCATCCGGGTCCTCCAAGTCGTCCAGTTCGTCTTGTTCGACATGCTCGACCTGCTCGACCTCCTCGAGCTCCTCGAACTTTTCCGACTCTCCCATCCCTACGGGACATTCACGATCACGTGCTCGGCATCATCGACCGTCCGCTTTTAAAAAAAAGTCGGCCCCACTTTTGGATGAGCCAATTGAATCAAATGCAAAAATAAATGTACAGTTGGGTCAACCAACCCGTCTGGACTCACCATCGCCACCGAACACGCCCGAGCACATGTGTATCACATTTGAAGAGCATTTGAAAAACCTGGCATCTGTGCAGATTCGGCCTATATCGCCTATATCAAAGCACCCATTTGATGATTTCGAGTTCAACTTGCCAGCGCCCATGCTGTCCGAGGAGTCATCCAGTTCTTCTTCGTCGGAGAGCGATCATGAAACCAATGTAAATTGTCAGAGGACACCAACATCTCAAGCTGTGAGTATACACTGTTTATTATTGCATATATAGAAATGTTGCAATGTTTAATTTCAGGTTGTACAACTGGTACCGCCACTTAAACCATTCGAGAAAAATCTTCAAAAAACGTCCTTCAGAGAGCCCAGCCCAATTCAACCACATTTTAATGCTTGTAAACCTGAAGCTCCTCTAGTACCTGCTTCCAGATCATCCAATGGAGCCGCACTTGGGTCCTGCACTCCAAGAGCTGTGGGACGTGCTTTAAAGATTTCCGATTCCGGGAGTTCTGAATATTCTGCAGGTGTAAGGCGCCCAGAGTCGAAACTAATGAATCAAGCAAAGAAGCGGAAGGCTATGAAACAGATTCATGAAGCGGGTAATGTTGGTATAAATTATCAGAAAGAGGTTTCGCAAGACACAAGTGAAATACCCTTGATAAAAAGTGCTACTGAATTATACATTCCAATGGAAAGAAATTCTGGGCCGCAGTTGCCTATTCCGAATCCCATTGATGTGCCCAATTCTAAAGTTTCTTTACCGATTCCTGTAAATTTGAATTACAGCTTAGAAAAAGAAACATCTAATGCTATAATGGTAGAACCATTTATAAAGCCAAATAAACCAGTCATAAATTTTCTATCCCCTATGAATGCACCAAAAACAAATTTAAATTACCCCACTGTAAGGGGCAATGTTGAAACCAACCAAATAACAAAACAATCTGATGTACTAATAGGAATGGAGGAGTGCATTAAAATCCCTGAGCCCAAAGTATCTCTACCGATGGATCTGAATTCGATTGAAGAAGTGGATGATAAGATAAGTAATCGCAAAATTGTTGAACCAATAAGCAAGGCCTTAAAAGTGCTGCATAAGCACAAACCATTGAGGACCCCGAAGAAAATCAGAGCACCGATACAAAAACCTTTGAAAGACATTTCTAATATAACTGGTAATTCAGTAGATGTGGTGGAAAACCTTCCCGAGACTCAATTAGCAGGACTGCCAATCCAGCAGACCACTTCTAAGATTTTTCTACCGATGACTGTTAATTCAATGAAAGAACCAGAGGATAATGGATGTAATCCAAAAATGATGGTAAAACCGGGCACCTATATGATAGATGAGCACAACAAACCTTGGACCCCAAATTGCCAAGGACACGAATCGCGGAAGTTGAAGGAAAATTCACTGAATGGAGGTTATTTATTTATTTTACTTATTTATATTTTATTTATTTATTTATTCATTTATTTCAGCTATGACAAAACATCCTGAGACACAATTCACAATTAAAAAGCCTTTTAAGGATTCGGACTGCGAAGTGTCTCTACCGGTGGCTCTGAACTTCAGTCAAGAACCAGATGTTAAGACAAGTTGTTCAAATATATTTGAACCTATGAACAAGACCTTGAAACTGGTAAAGGAAGCACAAATATCAAGGTCTCCAAATAAAGTTAATAAAACGAGGAATAACAATGCAAAGGACCAGGAGCCTACTGCAAATTCTAGTTTGGCAGATAATCCATACAATCAGGTAGTAAAACAATTCCAATTGGAATTGTCAATCCAGAAGACAGCATCATCTCTCGCGATGGTTCCAAGTTCAATAAAAGATACAGAACTTAAGCCAAGTAAGGCTGACATTGTTGAACCAACTGAATCTGAACCGGGCGCTAGCCCGAATAGTTCTAAGGCCAGTATTCTTAAAACTCATTCTACCAAAAAGCGTAAGTCGTCAAAAAAGGCAAAGCTCTTTAACTCTAATATTTCTGAATCACAAGGAAAATGTCCTAATAGTCAAATGTCGGCACAGCCCCGAAAATCAATAAGCGAACAAGATTTTAAATCGTCTGTATGCAATATTACTGCACCCGATGCGACATCAAATGATTTCAAAGATAAGCCAGATATTAATACACGTATTCCTAAAATGTCGAAAGGAAATGTCAAACTCGGAAGTCTGAAAATATCTCAACCAGATATCAAACCGCGAAACAGTAAAACAGTTCCAGTTAAACGAAATTTCTCACAGCCTATTATATCTGAAGAAATCATTTCTGAGCTAGATATGCAGCCTAGTACTTCTAAAGCTGCTAAGCTAAAAACTTCTGAGCCAGAGTTAGATATGCAGCCTAGTACTTCTAAAGCTGCTAAGCTTTATACTAATTCAAGTACTAAGGTTACTAAGCCAAGAACTTCTGAACCAAACAGAAAACCTAATCCAAAAACTGCGCAGTCAAAGCTCTGCAATTCTAATATTACGGAATCAGAAGTAAAATCTCCAAATTATCAAATGTTGGCACAGGAAGAGGACCGCAAATCAATAAGCGAAGAAGATTTTGGATCATCCGTATGCAATATTACTGAACCCGATGCGAAATTAAATTATTTCAAAGTTGTCAAACCAGATAATAATACATGTATTCCTAAAATGTCGAAAGCAAATGGCGAACTCGGAAATCTGAAAATATCTCAACCAAATCTAAAACCGCGCAACTGTAAAATGCCTGATCCAGTTAAACGAAGTTTCACACAGCCTATTATATCTGAACCGAACATTTCTGAGCTAGATATGCAGCCGAGTACTTCTAAAGCTGCTAAGCTAAAAACTTCTGAGCCAGAGTTAGATATGCAGCCTAGTACTTCTAAAGCTGCTAGGCTTACTAAGCCAAGAAGTTCTGAACCAAACAGAAAACCTAATCCGAAATCTGCGCAGTCAAAACTCTGTAATTCTAATATTACTGAATCAGAAGTAAAATCTCCAAATTTTCAAAAGTTGGCACAGCAAGAGCCCCGAAAAACAATAAGCAAGCAAGATTCTATATCGTCCGTATGCAATATTACTGTACTTGATGCGAAATTTAATGATTTCAATGTTGTTCAACCAGATATTAATACAGGTATTCCTAAAATGTCGGAAGCAAATGCCGAACTCGGCAATCTGAAAATATCCGAACAAGATGTAAATTCCTTACAGCCTATTATATCTGAACCAAACGCTTCCGAGCTAAATATGCAGCCTAGTACTTCTAAAGCTGCTAAGCTAAATATTAATACAAGTACCTCTAAAGTTGCCAAGCCAAAAACTTCTGAAGCAAACATAAAGCCTCCGAATCCGAAAACTGCTCAATTAAAGCCCGGGTCCTCGAAACCATTGAACGAACAAGTAAAATCCAAGGTCCCAAAACGTAAAAATGATGCTGAAAATAAAGATCCTAAGAGTACGACAGTGCAACAATTTAAAATTCCGAAGCTTGGGGAAAATATACCGGAGGTAAGATTTGAGCTGAATGTTTTCTTCCATGTGCACTTTCTACAAGATATATATTAAACATTTTTTAGGAAAAATCGACGCCGATAAAAGCTGAAGCAACTAAAAGCGCTGATAATTGTCGGATAAATCCTAACCACTCTGAGCCGGTGAGCGGAAGTCAACGTTTACAGGAAGTGTATCAGACGCCAAACTTTCAGAATTTTCAATACCCCTACTCGTCGAGGAGCTTTTACCCCTATCAGAGGTTCCATCCAACGCAGCCATCAGGCAGTCAGTATAATATGAACCCACCAATGAGAATGATTCAGCCCATGTACGCAGCAGCGGAACCGTCTTATCAGAGGGCATATCCAATGCAACGATTTCAACCATATCACATTAACCAATCTATGAGACCCAATTACTCCTATCAAGGGGAGCCGTCTCCCAGAAACCATCCGATGGGTATTCATTATCAGAACTATAACTCGCCCTACCCGATGAGAAGTGATTTGTACCGTCCGAACTATCCCATTAATTATGCTCAACAACCTTTATATTCTGCAAGAAGTATGCAACCGAGGAGTGCGCAAGGGAATCATCCACTAAATATGTTACCTTCCCGTCAATCTATCAATCCAATGACCACTGATCACGCTCAAAAGAATGAAATTGCGACGAATGAACAGGTACGTATAAAACTCTCAAAATGAACACTTGTACTTTTTCGTAATTTTTTTTTTATATAGAGCACATCTGGACCGATCCAAAAAATCAGAAGTGCATTCGCAGGTCGGAAGTACAGGACTCTCAAGGATCTCAGGGACCGAACTAAGTTGTCGAAAGATTGTTTGCGTAATACCTTAAAGCGGATTGCCAAAATCAAGCGTCCCAAATGGCGCATCAGCAAGTTTTATCTGGAGGCCTACGGTGCTGAAGTTTCGGGTCTTTCCCCAAGCTCCGAAGAAAATGAACCGGTAGGCTCTTTACTTTATAAAAGATTAAACATGTTTATTCCATATCCATTCTCCCTTAGTTGGAACTAAACTCTTCCTATCGCAAGGTGATTAGCTGCTATGAGGAATACAAGTTTCTACGCATCGAGTCTTTAATGCAAAAAACTGGGTTTCGTAAAGGCAAACTAAGGCGAGTTCTGAAGATGATCGGAAGAAAGCGGTCCACGAAATGGCGTCTTCTCTCTTATAGGAAGCCACTTATTCACCACCATCGAGGACACAAGAAATTGATGTAGTCTTTTATATATAGAATCGCCCGACTAAATAATGTTACGTCAAAAATTTATGAATAATCTACATATACATGTTACACAATTTATGAAGAATCTACACTTATAAATGAATTGCCTGGGTAAATAATGTTACGCAATTAATGAAGAAACTACAATTACATAATGAATCGTCTGGCTACAAATTTATAATTGTTCTTATAAAACATTCCATTAAAAACACCTATGCCACAACTTATTCATGCATCTTTTATAAAAATTGTAGATAAAAAATGTCTTTGACAGTCATTCTCTTAGTTCATTTTCATATTTTTGAAAATATTGGTATTCTAATTTTTTACGTTAAATTTGTCAGCATTTGTCCTGTCCACTGGCATTCAACACAAGAAATGTTTAATTTTGATCATTTTTCGAAAAAATATGTCGTTTTTTGTCCATAACTAAGAAAATAGTTGTCCAAATATAGAATGCCATACACCGTTGAATTCGTAATGAAATTTCCAACAAAGTGGCATTCAAGCCTAGAAATGTAAAATTTTCACGATTTTTCCCAAAAAATTATGATGTTACCCCTTTCCAAAAATGCGAAAAATGGCGAATTTTTTTTTTTGTGAAAATCCGTACAAAAGTGATTGTTTTTTGTCCATAACTAAGAAAATAGTTGTCCAAATATAGAATGTCATACACCGTTGAATTCGTAATGAAATTTCCAACAAAGTGGCATTCAAGCCTAGAAATGTAAAATTTTCACGATTTTTCGCAAAAAATTATGATGTTACCCCTTACCGAAAATGCGAAAAATGGCGAAATTTTTTTTTTGTGAAAATCCGTACAAAAGTGATTGTTTTTTGTCCATAACTAAGAAAATAGTTGTCCAAATATAGAATGTCATACACCGTTGAATTCGTAATGAAATTTCCAACAAAGTGGCATTCAAGCCTAGAAATGTAAAATTTTCACGATTTTTCGCAAAAAATTATGATGTTACCCCTTACCGAAAATGCGAAAAATGGCGAAATTTTTTTTTTGTGAAAATCCGTACAAAAGTGATTGTTTTTTGTCCATAACTAAGAAAATAGTTGTCCAAATATAGAATGTCATACACCGTTGAATTCGTAATGAAATTTCCAACAAAGTGGCATTCAAGCCTAGAAATGTAAAATTTTCACGATTTTTCCCAAAAAATTATGATGTTACCCCTTTCCGAAAATGCGAAAAATGGCAAAATTTTTTTTTTGTGAAAATCCGTACAAAAGTGATTGTTTTTTGTTCATAACTAAGAAAATAGTTCTCCAAACATAGAATGTCATACACCGTTGAATTCGGAATGAAATTTCCAACAAAGTGGCATTCAAGCCTTGAAATGTTAAATTTTGACCATTTTTCGCAAAAATTAATGATGGGATGATTAAAAAAATGACTGATTTGTGCAGCTAACAGCTTTACAAGATATGTATTTTAGGCTCCGCCTTATTTTTGGTAAATAAACTGGCGCTTCATATCGATGCAAATGAAAATAATATTTGTTCATTGTAAAATTTAAAATTGTTATATTTAATTGATTTTGTATTTTATCATACATTTGGGAAGTGCAATTTTTTGTCCTCTTGTTGCTATTATTTCTATGTGTTGTTTTAGATTTCGCAGCCATTGCAAGCGTGTGGGTATTTTGATGTTTTCTATGCGCTGGCAATTAATTGCTTTCAAATCCTTTTATCCAACAGATTTGGTCAATTTATTTTGAACAGTTTTTTGCTGTTGTATGTGCGTGTGTGCTTTGGTATTTACCACACATGTGTGCATGCACACATACACATGTATGCTTGTTTGGTCTGAATTTATTACATGTTTAGTTTATTGTTTTTTAATGGCGCTTAGTTTCAATTTGAGCGAAGCAATAAATTACACATTACTGACTGCCCCAAGTCCTTGTCTCGCCCCTTTTCCCTGTTTCTCTGTGTGGGTGCGCCAGTGGCTGCTTTAATGAGGCCAGAGAAGTCAATACGGCATTTGATACCAGATTGATGCCAGCCGAAAACAGTTGACCTTTCGAAAGCGCTAAACTTGAAGATAAAGTGCCAGCCGCTGGCAGCAGATATCGTTAGATATCAGAGTCACCTATTTTACAATATAGATTAAGATATATTTCCTATATTTCCGTAATGTATTTCAATCCGATTATATAAGCCCCTTTCCGTCCGTTTCACCATTTATTTCGAGCTAATTTTGATAAAAAGTTAGCCTCTGGAAGTACGCAGCGGAATTTTTAAGGCGAAACTGCAGTGCAAAATGAAAACTGCAGACTGCAGACTGTAATAATTTGCGCAACAAAGGGCGCACCTCAACTTGACAGCAGCGGAAGTTGTCCCCACTTAGCCGGGAATCCCCCTTAACCCCATAACCCCCGGCTGCCGCTTGTCCGACAGCCTTAACCCTCGCGCACCGTTTTGCTCCAGAACAAACACAAAATGAATGGCCCGCAAATTCACGGCAAATTAAATGAAATGCGCAAATTAAACGCAAAAGCAGCGCAATAACAAAAACGAAAAAAAAAAAAAAGTGAACCATGGCCAGGACAAAGTGAAACAAATATTGCATAATATTATTGCAAGTTCTTTTTTGGAGACGGGCGGTTTTTTGGGGGCATGGTCGCCACTTGAGCAACGCTTAAAGCGAACGAAAATGCGGAAGCAATTCACTTTCGGCTTTCAGCTTTTGCCTGCTGCTCACTTTTTTCGCTCGCCTTTTACCCTGTTTTAATATTTATATCAGGACAGCAGCTTTGGTTCCTCCTCGTCGTTGTCAACGTCATCATCCACATTCGCATGCAGTGGACAGACTTGCAGCTGCTGTTCCAGCTTAAAATCTTGCCAATACACTGGAGGAAAACTAGCGACGGATTCCACTTAAATTGCTGTACTAAGCAAATTGTTGTATTAATTAATTTTTGTGCAATTTCCTAGAAATGGAATCACCTTGAAGAACGAGAGATGTGTGTGAATTTGGAGTTTCCGATCGTTAAGTGTATCACCATTTCTGCCAATGCATTGGGTCAGTAATTTTGCATGCTTAGCTTTCAGCTCGCTCGCTCCCAAGAGTCCTGCGTCCTTCCGACCCATTGCCACCCGTTCCCTTATCCTGCCTGCCGTTTCGTTCTGTTCCGTTCCGTTCCATTCCGTTTGGTTTGCCTCTTTGGCGCGACTTGGCCATTTTTTTGTGTGTGCTAATTACCATAATTAAGCAAAGGTCAGGCTTTAGTCGCCTTTTGTGGCCGAGCTTGGCGAAATAATAATGAGAGAATGCCAGTAGAGAGTAGCGAAGAAAGGGGAAGAAAGCGGCAAAGCGGGGGAAAGCAAGTGATGGGAGGCGGGGTAAAATGGCTGACCAGCGCACAAACTCTCCCCTCTGTTCTGTTATGCATTATCTTTATGATTATGTTGATTATGACGTTTTAATGGGTTTAGTGAGGCGATGACGGGGTGGACCCCACGGGCCACTGGGTGGCTAAGGGGGCTAAGGACATTGGACGGTGGGTGGTGGGCGGTGGGCGGTGGGCGGTATCAACTTAAGCTGACAACAAAAGGGCAACAAGAAAAACAAAGACCTGACAAGCTGTTGGGGCACATTAAGGAATGAATGCAGTTTCCCTTCAATTCTTTTTCGTACCCATCATAATACCCTGCAATAGCGCAGAGACTTGGAACATAAACGAATGGCTCATATCGTTCAATTAGGTCGTAAAATATAAGTACTTTGCGGGAACCACAAAACCACTGTGTATGTTTATGACATGCTATAGGATAGCATAAAAAGTGCAATGGGAAGAGGCGCTGGGAAATCGTAGTGAAAAATTAGGATAATGCGGTTGGGTTGATTTTTACAGGGTAAACCACCAGTCGGCTAGAAGTGGCGTTTAGCTTAATCTCAATATTTCATTTTTTATTGCCGGCACTCAAAACATTACTTTGAACTTGGTCAAATTACTTGGGGCTTGTCTGTCAACGCTTCCTCCTACACTTCCTTCGCCTTCTGCATTTTCCACCGCCTTCCGCTTTTCCAGCCATAAATATTTTTGGTACTCGCCGAGCAAAATGAAAATTCCATAGGAACTTATCTTGAAAACTGCAATGTCATGACAAATATACAGAGGACCAGGGACGATGACGTGGGCGAGTTGCGAGATGGGATCTTGCAGGATGGCACGCACTTCCCTCGCCGGGGGAGCCCCTTAACCCTTAGGCGCCTGCTTAACCCCCCGGCGGTGATTAACGATCGCAGCACACGGCGGAAAAGATGAAAGTCAAATGGGAGATATGCAGGAGCTGGGGAAACGCAACTATTATTTCAACATGGCGGGGCGCCACTTCACCGACCTTCTCCTAGTTCTCGTGCTGCAGGCCCAGCATTCCTAGGCAAGAAAAACATTTTCATTCCAAGGCGTTTTCCAGAGGGGCAATGGAATCGAGAACGGGAGTTCTTGGAGGGGGGGACGGCAGTTGTTTGAACTTATCTAAATTGTTTTGCCATATTGTTTTCTTATGCCATGTGTGTCGCATCGTTCCATACTTGGGCGTACTTCCTGGCCTCTTCCCATGAATATCCTCCTAGTGCAGGCGGAAAAATATATATTTCACACAAATAAAGCCGAGGGAGTTTTGATAAATTTATTAAAAACCTTGGTGTAAAAATATGTATTCAAATGAATTGAATGAGTATGTGCTTTTTCATTTGGAATTGCATATTCAGACGACTTTAGTGGAATCTTTCTTTCGGTGTATCCACTTTTCCTTCCCCCCTCACCCCTCTCGAAAGTCCCATTGTCTTCAGCAAATTTGCTTTACTTGCACTGGCTGCTTATTCATTGACTTTTGTGTTTTGTGCCATTTTCAAATGCCTTCATTTCTCCGCCGCACACAGCCGCATACGCCCGTCTCTCTCGCACACCAGATGGCCGTCCCACTCGCACGGCTCTGGCCGTACGTGTCTATTATTGGTATTTGCTGAATGAATGGATTGTACGTGCCCAGAGGCATTTCGAATAACTTTTTTCATGGCTCCCGAGCTTCCACGTAGTGCTTCCGCTGCTTTTTGCCTTATTTCTGGATCTGGCTCCTCATGGATTGCAATTCTCCGCTTCCGTCCCGCCTTTCTCTTGTTGTTCACCCATCTCTTTCACGCACACACACACACACACGCCCCTCTCGCTCTGCGGTTGAAATCTAAGCGATTTTACATTGTTATTGTTATTATTGCTACACGCGCACACACACACACACATGAGC